AAAGATTAACTGGACAAATGACATTAAGAGCCACGCTCAACCTTACTAAATCCACCTGATCAACAAACCACTGAAAAAAGTTATAGATTCAATAAACATAAATGGTGTAAATCCAACAATGAGTCAACCAAAACAAGGCTCTAGACCCATTCAGAACAAAAGTTCAATAAATTAAAATACTTCGGTGTGTCCATGTAAGTTGTCTCAATTAACCACCCAATCTGGGTTATGGACATATTAAGAGCACTTAAAGCTCAACCTGCAAACATCAAGTAACAAGTCTACCAAAGCATCTCATAACCATATAAATTAGAGGATTATCAAGCCAGATCACTTCAGGACGTAGACTCAATTTTTTAAACTTCGTCACTAGAATAATTTAAAATACCCCACAGGATCTTAAATATATTCTCTTAGACAATCAAGCACTTACCTGTGCTTCATCCTAGTATAAGGACCTGCTTGATTCTTCTTTTCTTTCACGTGCTCTAACATGAGTATCATCTCCACAAGATCTGTCTAACTTTGTCACTACATCTGTAGTTCCTGACAACATACATAGACATTTGTGAAAAATAAAGTAGCGAACATGAGGATCAACTTACCCCCACAATGGACAAACTTCCAGATATACTATTCTCAAGCATATCAGACTCAAAGAGAGTGCACAACTTGCGTTAACATGCTTCTTTCCACAACTAGTCAATCAGGTTTATCCATATGGTTCAGGAATTTTCCATTCACCACTACATGAATATATAAACCACACAACAAACATCTAAATACAACTTTCGATCAAGAAAGTAAAACCAAGATGATATAACACTAGTTTAAGCTTTAATCCAATACACCTTAGATGATGAACTCATCAACTTTACTGGCAGAATAAAGCTTAGGAAGCAAGAACAAATCCTATGAACGAGCAAAACTAACATGTCATGTCATAGGAAAACATATACTTGAGACACTTCAAGGATTTAACATATCAAGCTCGTACATGATAAACGTAGCAGATATTCAGCATACATATCACCCACAGTCCCACAAGCCTTCATGCTTTACGTGAAACATATCTAGAAGTCAATTCTTTATTATTGGAAACCCCCACATCAAAAATACCACATGAAAATAATCATGAACCAGGTAACAAATTAGGAAGTATAAACAAAATTCTTGGGTGAAATACTTACTAAACAAATAAACAACTGATACATATCTGCAACCCCCACAATACTAACATTCACAGAATATTAAAATTTTAAAGACATATGGAATGTCGATTCCCATCCTTACCTCATGTGGGGCACTTACACTTCAAATTAGCATGGCCATTATAGCTTTGCTAAGTCAAGCCCTTTTTAATTTTGCTAATAAGCCCGGAAATCAACTTGGTCTCATCTAGACCATCAACAAGAAATAATTGCTACACCTCTAGCAAATTAAATACATTTCAAGTTCGAGAACAAAGCTAATTAAGATCACAAGAATTAAAAGAAACAATAATTCTAAATCCCTTTTTTAATCTAAAAAAGAGACACTTACAAGCTTATCACATACTCCGTGCTCAACAAAACATTGTCCATGATTAGGAAAAATAACAATTTAAAAACACTATCATACGATAGAACACATGTTATCCCTAATCTACTAGGACAAAACACATTAAAGTCCATGAACATAAATAGAATACCATTGGACAAAACATACATTAGCAGAAATAAATTACTTGCAAAACAATAAGCAAATAGCCACAGATAAACATCTTTTACGGAGACCTTCCTCCTCAATGTCACTCCTTTACAAGAGTAAAACTAACATACTAGTCAGTTACAAGATCTAACTCACCTCACCCGCACATATCATTGCATTAGCTCATAATAATAAAATTATGCACATTTACAGGGGCACATAATAATAGACACCATATTACGTAAAGTTAGAAATAATTATTTGAGAAGGACTTATCTGATTTTGTGCATGTACCAAAGCTATTGACGAGCCTAGCTAGATGATTATATTCTGAAACATCTAGCAGCAACATCTTTAATGTCGCGATACCCACAGACGTATGGAATCGGCTAACTCCAGCTTCGGCTCAAACAATCTTGAAATTAATCCACTTGATGCAGGAACATCAACTATTATATTTCATGAATTTACAATCACGAGACCATGCGACACAGTTGACTTAATAATTTCATTATTTATAATCAACACAAGCACTAGCGCTCCTCTTTGATTCACAGACTCACTTGAGTGCCATTAAACTATAATTTAACCAATAAATTAAATCCACCAACTTAATGGAAATTTCGCCTTATTAGGCATATATTCTATTCAGAGGGTTGTCGGATAAAAACTCCATGATTAACCGACTTAAATAACAAGAATGATTCTTGATTGAATCGATCAAAAAATACTGCACCCAAATTTAATCTTGATACTCGCTAAGTTGAGTACAAAAAACCGTAAATCCAAAAGAGTTCCTAAAATAAGATTAATTTTTTTTTTCCGAGTAGTACACGATGATTAATATCTCAATCTCCAAAACAATATTTTTCCCAAATTCAAGAAATCAACAGTATAAAAATTTAATATATTTCGCTTCTAAATTGTTGGTAAAATATCTGTCGATTCCAATAACAAAAATAGAGAAGATGAAAGGGAAAATACTTAATTGAAGATCTCAAACTCACAGTCGCGCCTTGGAACAATAATCCACTGTCTTAGAAGCGAAATACGCTACCACCGGTACAGGTTTCCTGATGACGCACGCCCCCCAAGTTTATCGTAACTCTCCCCGTAATTCATGCACCCGAACCTGAAGAGTGGAATTGCTCAAGAACTGTTCAGATCTCAAAAAGTAGGTTTGCGTTTTTCGGCTAGAAAGTGAATAATTCTCATGAAAAGGCAAGGCTCTTATTTATATGAGTCCCAGAAAAGGAAACACGCAAAGAAAATCGACCTAGGAAAAAAGGCGGACCCGATTGGGCGAGCTGCCACCCGATCGGGCGCGAGATTAAGTTTCTCCAGACCTGGTGTCGCGCCCGATCGGGCAAACACCGCCCGGTCGGGCGATCTAGAAACCCTATCCCGAGCGAGCCATCGGGCGAAGCCGCCCGATCGGGCTCGTCAAAAACTCGAGTCCGCCGCCCGGTCGGGCGAGGGCCGCCCGATCGGGCGCGAGAGTTCTCCTATTTTCCTTAGCCACCTCCGCCAAGTCGGGCGAACCACCACCCGATCGAGCACGAGAATCCGTTTGCATTACCTATTTCCAACAACCCTGATTTGGGGTCAAGGTGTTACACTTTTCCTTGTTTTGTAGGGGTTTTCTTAAAAAGTATGTAGAGTTAGCAAGGAAGTTGGAGTTGATATGTTGGAAGAGCTATAAAGCATAAAGGGCAGCCTAGTCCGCACCCTGCTTGCGGCCTACCACAACATACTATAGCCTTCGTGCGACACACTTCACAAAGGAGCGAGACACACATAGCTTGCAGCCTACTCCACAAAAATAGTGCAGCTCACGACTCTATAATGCAACATAGCTTAGTTGCGGCCTCCTACTTATTGACAAAATTAAGTTGTAATATAGGGTTTTTAGATTCGTAATTCTAAGAGAGGATGATTACTATTTTCCTTGCATATAAATAGGTTTTAGATAGTCTTCTATTTACCACTTCCACACATTATTTAGAGAGTATTGTATTACATTCTTCTACATTAATTCTAGGGCCTTTTGTTTGCAAGATTTAAGATTGCATTCATATAATTATTAATTTCAAGTATTATTTTCTCCTCTTAATCCTCTTATTTTTATTATTATTAATCATGTCTTAGCTTCTTTCGTCCTTGATTTCATTAAGATGCATGAGTAGCTTTCCAATCTGAGATTTAGCAAAAATCGAATATGATTGATGCATGAATTAATTGATCTCTTAATTCTCCAATAATATTTGTATTTTGACATAATTTATTATTGATTGTGCTTATGCCAATACTAGGTTAGGGATAATTAGAACTATTATTGTTATTTAACCATTGTTCTAATTACAATAGGAGTTGGGTTTTAACGAATTTGAATACATCAATTTAAGGTTTGAAGTTCTTCACGGAAGTAGTTGAATGGATAATTAGCAAACTAAATTATGTGCTTCATTCCTTAACTTGCATGTTTCCACGAAAATAGGTTTAATTGTGATTAGAAAGTCATTGATAACTCGGAAGAGACCTTTAGAATTGTCTAGGGATTGCTTTTCCTCGATCCTATCGATTCAATTATATGTTAGGGGTAAAACGACTATTATATTGAATATATTCGTGGTGAAGCTTGATTTTGGATGCTTTTTATCATAGTATTTCCCTTATTATTCAGTTTATTTGCATTAGATTAAATAGGATTTTTATTATTTGAATTGATTGCTTGCTTAGTAATTACTTTACTCTAACAATTAGTTAAATCATAGTCTCTTACCACCGTCAACAAATTCCCAAAATCACTTTTTCTTAAATCGATCCACTTTTTACACCGTTACCACAGTGTCCCTTATGCATATTCTGAAGTCCATGTCGAAAACACTTACCCTATTTGTGAAGCCATCCATTGTGATTGCTTTAAAGTCACATTTCAATCGATTGAGATTAAGATCGTCGATTGTGTTTTTCATCCGACCGATAGAATTAAGAGAAAGTTGTATAAAAAAGTAAACAGTCAACCAACATTACCTCCTTCCAGAGGCGGAGCTACAGGGGGGCTAGCAGGTAAGTGTAACACTTATTAAAAATGGAGAGAGTATTACTTATTTATTTGTTTAACATTCTAGTACGAATTCCATTCCAAAATATTGATAATGTAAGAGATATACTGCAAAAAGATTGATGACTGTAATACAAATGTGGATGGGTGTAAGAAATACTGAGTGAATGGTGTAATTATTGTGAGATAAGTGGGGTATGACAAAAATGGTTTACCGAAATTGTAAAAATAAAAAGTAATAGCGTAATAAAAATAGGAAAACGATATACATAGCCTTTAGGACTATATATATATATATATATAAACATTTAATATCCTCTACAATATTGTTTAAATTTAGGAGTCTATTTAAGACTTATATAGTTATATGTAGCCTTAAGGGGCATCTATATCATTACCCTTAAAAATATAAAATGTACTCCGTATGAAATTGGATATCTCTAAATCAAGAACATTAGGTTGCATTAATTACACCCTTGACACGGAACAGCTGGATACCCAGGAACTGTTTGAACCGGTGGATTAGGATAGTACACAACAGGATTACCAGCACGCGTCACAGCATCTGTAAAAAAAACAAAAAGAATAAACTAGTCAAAATACGAAAAGTTCAGAAATTATAAATGTAGAATGATCCAAACTTAAAAGTTCATTGATTTTAAATCAAATGAATATCACTTTTTTCTTTTTACTTGGAATACTTTTAATCTTTTCACTTTTTATTGCGTTATTTCACTCACTAGTAGAGTTAATTGCCAATATGCAAAAATTATAAAAAGTTTGGTACTCCGTATCATGCATGCAAGCATAAATTGTTGTAAAATAAGATGTTTTCAAGACTACATAAAAGAAAGAAACAATAAGATCAAAAAAGTCGATCTTATAATCAATGGAACAAATATTTTTTTGACGACGTGAGATTAATGGAACAAATATGGTGTCTTGATGCAAATCAATAACTTAAAAACGAAATTTTGGCGTAATCGTGATATCTAATTGTATTCGCCGGCACGTTCTCTAAGGTTCACACACCACTCTAGCTCAATCAATAAACTTATGCTTAAAGAGAGGAATGTGTTTAGCTTTAATGTATTTGGATGTAATCCTGTGCATGTATTAGAAAATGTAAACTGATTTTCACAACCATGGAATATAAAATCAAACAGTAAAATACCAAAGGTTGGAGAATCCAAAAGGACAAAGCCTCAAACAAGGTAAGAGGAGTTAATTACCTCCTTTAAACATCCCATTAAGTGGGAGTTACTGGAAGGTTACTCAAGGTATCTCTACGTTTAAAGAGAATCCAAATGGGAGCTCTCCAAAAGGACAAAGCCTCAAGTAAATGCAAGCTAATATTATTTTTTGTCTTACTTGATTTAACAGGAAATAAATAAATAATTGATTAAGAATTGCTTTCAAAAAAAAAAAGGAAAAATGATTAAGAAGGCATAGCTTTCAAAAAAAAAAAAAGCATTATGTATGAGATTCAGTCCCTACGCTTTGACTCGCTTTTATGATTTATAAATACGATAAATCATATTCATGTGGGATCTTGTTTGAATTGCTTTAATGTATATTTTATTAATATCCACTTTTTATAATTTAACGATGTTAATAATTAGAGATATTAATCGTTAAAAATATACGTTGATAAGCGTGATAATAGAAAGGTATCAACTAAAAAAATATGAGATTGCAAAGAATAAGAAGCTTACGCGTCTTTTTAGTTGAGAAAGGTTCTGCTAGCTGACGAGCTGAAATTTCGCTAGGGACTAGAAAAAGAACAGCAAATATAATGGTAATAAGAAAGACCTTTGATGAAGCCATTTTAATTCACAGTTACAATTCAACTTGTTTTTGGGTGATACAAGTAGATCTTATATTTATAGCCACTGTGACCTCAAAGACTGGGACCACAGTCAAATATATTTAAAATAAATAAATAAATAAAAATAAATAAATAAATAAATAAATAATATATATATATATATATATATATATATATATATATATATATATATATATATATATATATATATATATAGTTCATAAGTTTCAATTTACTTGACCTATAGTCATATGACACGCAATTAAAAGAGTTAATTAAAGAAGACAAACGATATTTTTAATACAAAAATTTAGAACCACCAATAAAAGGGATAAATTGGGGTTCAATGGTATTAATTTTTTTTTTTTATCAATCTATGTTAATCTTCTTTAATCTCTTTTTTAAATTGCGTGTTAAATGACTATAGGTCAAGTAAATAAAAACGGATGAAGTATATATATTTGTGTGGGGAATGAGGTGTCGTTACCCTTCTTTCCATTCTCTTGGGGCCTTCACTTTTACAAGTAAATTGGATAAAATTGACTAGTAAAAAATGATTTTGATCAGTAGATCACATTTTCCTTACCTATAAAAACCACATACAACGTACATAACTAGTTGCATTACTTCTCTGTTTTTTAAGTTAACAAATGCTCTGAGGGCATTCGATAATATAATAAAAGTAGAAATATGAAATTAAAATAATATTACTTACATTGATCGATACGTGATTTTGACATACATTTTTAAATTACTATCACTTTAAAAATCATTTAAATACCAATCTAACACCCTGATACATTGTTTAGCAAGATCCTTTTATCCTTTATTTAATTTTTTGCTTTATTTTATTTCATTAGATACAAAATATATATACTTATCTTTATATTGATTTGAATTATATATATGGAGATATATGAAAGTGACAAAACCAAGAAATTTTTATTTGAACATATGAAAGATTTGAAGTAATAATAAAATTCAACCTAACATTTTAAAACTAAGGTACATTGTTTAGTTCTTGGAAGAGATTATTATTATTATTATTATTATTATTATTATTATTATTATCCAGTGTATAACTATATTGAAAAACTATGTATGATCAATTTAAATTTCTTGATATTTGACGTGTACTTTGTCTTTTTTAATTATCTTAGGTAAACATTTGACATATTCATTGCGTTAATGTTTGAAAAAGTTTGAACCTAAGACTAGACTATTTCTTACCAAATAAAGTATCATATACAGTCCTGTTACATGCATCTGTGCCATGTCCTTAAATTTAAAATATTCTTATATCTAATTTTATTTTGAGAAGGTATTGTGTCTGTCTGGACCGACGAAATAACGGATTTTTAATATCCTCCATTGGCCTTTTGATATCCTTTATTGGATTTTTCATATCCTCTATTGACTTTTTAAAATCCTCTAAAGAATACTGCGTATCATACTGTAGAGGACATTATTCAACCAATAGAGATTATCATATCCAGCCAATTGAGAATATCAAAATACGCAATTTGTCAATCTTGACTCGTTAGCCCGGACTGACGCAATAGTTTGTGTTTTGTTTTATGGCGGCGGTTCTAATTTCTATGAGTTGTTATAATGTTTTTCTTTAATAAAATCTTTTGTCTATGAGTCATTTCTTAATGTAGTAAGATTTTGAAATTTCGTTTTCACTAGGAAAATTACAATAAGTGACACATGTATTCAAAAGGCAATAGGTGATTACTATTCATAGTGTTTTTAATTTTTTTTTTTTTTTTCTATACATCAATAGTTGAATAGTTTGAATCTGGAAATGCTATTCATGATTATTTTTTTGAGCACAAGAAAATTATAATGGCAATTGGAGAAAAAAAAAAGGTGTCATAAAAAATCACCAAGTGTTTGTGTTTATTGTTTAACCATGGGTTTCCTTTTCGCCCATCAACACAACTAACCAACCATTACTTCTATGGTTAAACACAAACACACTCACTTAAAGGAATTCACTCGATTTTTTTTAATTGCTCACACACAATGAAATCAAGCTGCGTTGCTTGTTTCCATACTAATTTCTTTTTAATACTCTCTTTCTCTCTTTTTTTTTCATCTCCTTTTCTATTTGGTTTTCCTGAAAATCTAACCTGAAACTCTGATACCATGTTAGATATTTTTATATAGATAGAAAATTATCCAACACCGAGTACCAAGTTTCCTAGATACTCCGCAAAGAAGTGACAATGTTATTTGAGAGATAAACTCTGCTGTTTAAATTCAATGTCCATTTGTATACATGTACTCCATACAATATTAAAATACAAAAGATCACAAAGTATTGGTATTCCCTCACTTCTTTTTAATTTTTACATCTAGAATCAATTTATGGGATAAAAAATATTGAGAGTTAAGTTTGAAAAGTGACAGTGGAAATATCGAATAAAAAGTTAACCATATTAAGCGTTTATGAAAGATGACTTTTAAGGTAGATGTTGTAGGAGACTTCCTTGAAAAATTCAGAATTCAAATGGATGTGAATGTGATGGATATTTCCTTGAAAAGTTCATTTGAAAATTCTTAAACTAGAAACGAGAAAGAAAATTCCTAAACTTGTAATTGTGGGCAATGTAACATAAGATATTAACTAGATTTGAAAGTATGAGATTCTTCTTTTTCTATCATGGACAAGCTCCAATATTAAACGAGGTTTAATAATTTCTTAAAAAAATTGTCAAAACAAACCTTTTAGAAGCTTCCTTTTGCAAAAAAGAATCTTTTAAAAATTTCCGGGCAATAAAAAACCACCAACTTGCAATTTTTGGTAAGATGAAACCTTTGAGTACTATTCCAACATATTCTCTCAAAATTTTAACATGGTATCAAAACCCAGATTTGTTGGACACTTCATAACTGGGTATTGGTCAAGCCACTGGTTAGGGAATCTCTATTGGATGATCATTTTCAATGAAGATTACATTGTACCTTCTGATGTGCTCTAATTTCTTAAGACACTCACAAGTGAGGGGGAGTGTTGAAACTCATTATAAATCACTTGTGAGTGTCCCACATTTGAGAAAGAGAAGAGATGGTTCCATTTTATAAGATAGAGGAGTACCTCCTACTACTGTCAATTGGTTTTGGTGTGGAAGCTTCTAAGGCTTGTTTGTGGACTAAACTCTTCTCCTCCTTGTTCGGGTTGCCCAAACCCATTTCATATTGTTTTGAAATTTATAATGGTATCAGAGCCAGGTTGAGTTGTGTTGTGATATGGGCCAATATTATCGACAACTCACATGTGATTGGGAGTGTTGAGCCCATGAGTAAACCCACATGTGAGTGGTGTGTTGTCCCATATTAGTTGAGTTTATAAGTGAGAATTTATATTGGGATGTGTATTCCACATTGAAGAAATAAGAAAGTTGTGTCCACTTTATAAGGCTAAGGGGCTACTCCCCTCATTGTCATATGATTTTGAGGTAGAACCTCCTTGGTCGTATAAAGTGGACAGTTGTGACGGGTGTGGCTCAGGTCCTTTTATCATTGACTGTTAGTTTCAGGCATTGACTTTGTTTTATTTTATTTTATTTATTTATTTATTTTTTTTTTTTTTGTGTGCACACCCACACCTCCATAAATTTAGACCACCTACTCGAAGACCTATCGACACTCCCATTATCCACTCCAACCACCATAAATTCGCCCCTACCTACTTGGAAAAACCCACACCCACTACCGATTAGCAACCCCTACCGTTTTAAATCTACTACCACTTTGAAATCCACCCCTACCTTTTTGAATCCATACCCCACCTTAGAATAAAAAGATCCAAGAAATAGAAAAAGAGTTGAGGAAGTGCTGTAGTTGTGATGGTGGATTATTGGTTTGGTTGTAGAGGTGGAGATGGGTTTATAAGTGAAGGAAAGTCATATATATGACGCATACCAATGTCATATACTTTCTCTATTTTAAATTAGTTGAAACTTTTTTTAAAAAAATAAAAAATAAAAAATCATATTTGTCAATACATAATTTCAACTTATAATAAAAGAAATCTAAAAGAACATTAAATTTTATTAATTAAAGTTATACAACATCTACATTGATGATAATGAAAACGCATTCAACAAAATCAAACAAAACTGATTGGGGAAGAGCTAAGAATCTCAATACATAAATATAACAATTTACTACGTAATTTTGCGTGAAAGAAAATTCTTTCGTAACCAGAAATCGAGCAATAATCAATCGTAAACCCCCACAACTAGAGACATGGTTAAACACTAATAAAACTTTGACTTTAAAGGAGTTCGAAAAACCTTGTATTTCGAATGAGATGGAAAAGATCTTGTCTTTCGAGAGAGATAAACCTTTTCTTTTTAGGAAGACATTATAAGCTAAGAAACAAAAAACTGAAAAAAATAAAGATTTGGGGTTTTTCCACCGGTGAATTCCGATGGAAACCCCTCCAAAATTAATAAAGGTGGCTAAACAGAGAGAGAAGAGAGAGTGGGGACTAGGTTTTTTTTTAGACCACATTCCTAATTTAAGATTACGTAAATTAAATATTTGATTTCTTGAAAATTGTACATTAGTCATCAATCAATAACTTAATACTAAAACAGACACAAGGAGTGTCACGTGTCACATCCTGGTGCTGTTTTTTCCCTCCAAAACAACTCGTCTGTTTTTAAACTTTTTTTTCTTTTTTGGTTAAAATTTGATTCTATAATTATATAATTCCAAATATTTTATGTTATCTTTATGACAAATTTTTTTTTTGTTAATATTCGATTATGATCCTATAATAATACCGTTCCAATCAATCATCAATAACTTAATACTAAAACAAACACCAGGAGTGACACATGTCATATTTCGGTGTTAAATTCTCATGTTTACGCAGCTCAAAAAAATCCATTTTTGTTTAAATTTTTCCTTGCCTATTAATATAGATTATGACATTATAATTTCTATATTTTATGTGTATGTTTTATCAAATTTTATTTGTTGGATATTCTTATAAAAATTAGACTT